GGGAGCTCACTCTGTTACGCGGCGCTAGGGATTCGAACCGCTGAACTGCCGACCTTTCTTATCGACAAGCTCAGCGTCTTAGCCACTGAGCCACCTGTGCCCTAATAGCCTAGTTCCTTACCTCTGTTCTAAGTCATAGCTTTTGCTTTAAAAAAAAAAAGATGCACAAGAGAGAATGCTGTTTTAACCCCTTCTTTTCTGTTTTTGTCTTTTGGCGTTCAGATTTCGGCGTAAGTGCTTTTTTAGCTACCGGTGGGGACATTACGCGGAACAAAGTGAGGAAAACCTTTGTAGGAACCCCTTGCTGGATGGCTCCCGAAGTGATGGAGCAGGTAAGAATAAATTGGAAGCGGCTTTCACTGAGCACTGAAATTTCAAATGCTACTAATCCTCAGCTTATAACCTCAGTTGGGACTGGGACCTTTGTGGCTAAGCAAGATGGTTGCTAAGTGAGCTCCTGATTTTACGACCTTCCTTCCCCCCCAATTGTTAAGTGAATCACAGCAGATAAGCAAATCACACCGTTGTTAAGTGAATCTGACTTCCCCTGTTGACTTTGCTTGTCAGAAGGTCGCAAAAGGGGATCAGTGACCCTGGAACACTACAAACCATCATAAATTCATGTCCGTTATCAAGCCTTCTAATTGTGATCATATGACCACAGAGATGCTGCAACATTCATAAGTTAAAATGATCATGTTACTTTTTTCCGTGCCGTTGCAACGTCAAAACAGTCACCAAATGAACTTTTATAATTCAAGGACTACCCTGTAAAACTTTCCAGAACATTTACCATATTTTTGGACTATAAGACGCACCAGAGTATAAGACACACCAAGATTTTTAAGAGGTAAATTTAAAAACAAAATTTTTTGCACTCTGCATACCTTCCAAACCCTCTGCACGCCTCATTTTTTGTGAAAAATGGGCATACAGAGAGTTTGAGAGGCCTGCAAAGTGCTAGGGGGGGAGGAATGAGAAAAAAATGGCCATTTTTTTGCGAAAACGGTCCCGGTTTTTGCCAAAAATAACGAGCATGCATAGCCTTTAGGAGGCTTGTACAGTGCTCCTGGGGGCTGGAGGTGGGGGCAAAAACGAGCAAACCAAGGCCCGTTTATTGCCCTCCACAGCCCCCAGGACCTCTTTGCAGTCCTCCCAAACCCTCTGCACGTCCATTTTTATGAAAGGGGGGGTCAGTGTATAAGACGCACCCAGATTTTCTTTTTTGGGGGAGACAGAGGTGCGTCTTATACTCCAAAAACATGGTATCTATCTAAGAAACAACTTTTACCTTACTGAAATGAGTTTCCTGTGAAAGCATTCCTTTACACTGTTCCAGATATATTTCTTCCCAGTCTTCCGGCTGAAACAATAATCTATTGACCCTTGGTGAAGGCCAAAGCAGGGGTGGTGGGATTCAGTTGTGGAACTGCCCGAGAAGGAGAAGGCTGTTTAGCCATGAACTTGTGCATGTCACATCTTCCTCCGTTAACAAAGTATTGCAGTTCNATTTTACTTTATTTTAATTTTATTTTACTTTATTATTTTACTTTATTTTTATTTTTATTTTATTTATTATTATTATTTTATTTTTCTATGCAGCCTTAATTATTTTTACAAATAACTGAAGGCGGTGAACATAGTTCGTCCTTCTTCTTCCTCCTGCTATTTCCCCTACATGGATTAGGCTAAGAGAGAAGCACTACACAAAATCACCAGCCAGCTTTCATGCCTTGGTAGGACTAGAACTCACCATCTCCTGGTGATTGGCGCAAAATCGCTTAGCTGGCTTTTCAGGGTGGGATTAGAACTCACCGTCTCCTAGTGATTGGCCCAAAGTCACCCAGCTGGCCTAAGGCAGGACTAGAACTCACCATCTCCTGGTGATTGGCCTAAAGTCATCTTGCCGGCTTTCATGCCTAGGTGCGACATGAATTCATGTTTATTTCAACTAACTGATGGAAATTGCTGTCATACAGATAGATGGCTGTCAGTGACACACTACTCTGTCTTCTTTATCAGTATCCATTCCAATCATGGCTAATGCCAACCAGGTTTTTAAAACTAGCATGGCTAGTCCTGGGTTTTATGACAGATCAAATATTTTTACTATCACTATATGTTTATAACACTGCTTCAACCAAGGCAATTCTAAGTAGTAGGCTAAACAGGAAAAAAAAAACTCTCTACCATTTGTAACTGCAATTAAAACATTGTGATTAAGTTCTCAATTTTTCAGCCAGTTGTTAAATGCTGTCTGCGGTGTCCTGCAAGTCACGTGGCTGCAATTTACAATTATTATTATTTCCTGTGAACTGACATTTGCTTCTGGTTTCTGCAAAAATAAAAATAAAAATCCATTGTTTAAAACAGATTTGCTTAATGACTGACAGAAAGAATAATTGGGTGACCTGCCTAACATTATAACCGTTAATCCAGACTCAATTATGGTTGTAAGTGGAGGACCGTGAATGTTTTCTTGACCGTGGCAGCTTGGAAGATTGAACAGACAGACAGACAGACAAATGGACGGATAGATGGATGCATAGATAGGGTAGATGGATGAATGGGCAGATAGGACAGGCAGACAGGGTAGGTGGATGGATGGATGGATGGATGGATGGATGGATAGGACACAAAGACTGACAGACAGTTGACGGATGGATGGATGGACGCACTATCAGCCAAAGGAAGTGATTGTGGTTTCTGACCTTTAATCAAATAGCACAAGTGGTGAAATGCACCTATTGGTAAACTTGTTAGAAATCCATGGTTTTATTTTAAAATATTTACTTATCTCCCAAGTCTTAAATGATGGATAAGCTTGTTAAAGATCCCTGGTTTTATTAAAAACGTGATTTAGCTGCACTCCAGCCCTCAAAAATACAGCTCTCTTCTAAAAAGTATTTACCGTCCTTTGCCATCACAAACTCTCTTTGAGTTGTGGAGAAAGAGCAAAGGTTGACAGGAAGATATTTATCAGTTTGGTGGAATTTCCTTGCTTAAGATGAAGAAGAACAAAAGGAAACCCCAGGGGATTAACTGATGAAATTCAGAGGTCGCAAATGCCCAGCGTGCCTTTAGCCATTTTCAAGCATCCAGAATATGTTAATCTGCGTAATGGTTCAAATGGCTAAACCCAGTTCTTCTCATTCCATGTTTGACCTCGCAAGAATTTAAGAAGCTGAAATCCTCGCATCTGATGTCATCCCCAAAGATCGGGGAGGGTGGGTGCTAAGCTGCCCACCCTCGTAGCATAAGGAAGGTTAGCACTATATGTGAAACTTTGCCATGTTTCCCCCATCAAAATAACCCTGTTGTTTTGTTGTGAAAGGAAAATGGAAGCACAAATCTCCGGGAGCAAGGATGAGATTTGTAAACGAAAAAACAAAAACAAAAAAGCACTTCAGGTGTTGTTGTTGTTGTTGTTGTTGTTGTTAGTCGCGAAGTTGTGTCTGACCCATTGCAACCCCATAGACAAAATTCCTCCAGGCCTTCCTGTCCTCTACCATCCTCTGGAGTCCCTTTAACGCCTACTGCTTTGGTGACTCCATCCAGCCACCTCATTCTCTGTCGTCCCCTTCTTCTTTTGCCCTCCATCGTTCCCAGCATGAGGCTCTTCTCCAGGGANAGTGCAAACCCCATTCCTTACCAGTACTGATGATGTTATCTAATTGGGTCACGAAACAGCTGCAAGAAAACAACCAAGCTCCGAGAGCATCAAGGGCTCCATAGTTCTCCTCCTTCTCCTCCACAAATCTCACTCCTTCCTAGCACTGATGCCTAGTTGGGTAATGAAACATCTGTAGGAAAACAGCTAAGGCCAGAGAGCCCCACAGTTCTCCTCCTCCTCTTCCCCTGCTTCCTGCTGCTGCTCCTCCTCCTCTCCACAAACTCCACTCCCTTGTAGCACTGACGATACTACCTAGATGGGTCATGAAACGCCTGCAAGTTCAGAGAGCACCCCTCATTTCATCCCTGAACTGCAAATATTTTCCTTTATTGATGCTTTGTATTAGTCTCCTCCTAATCTATTTTTCTGGCAATAGGAACAGTTAGAAACTGTAGGCAAGAATTATGCCAATTACACATTTTACAGATTACACATTTTGGAGAAGGTAACTCATCTTCTCAGTTATCTGTTCTTTTCAGTTATTGGGTCTAATTGCTGTAATGTCTTAATATTACATTTAATATTGTTTCAATATTCCTTTAACATTTTATCTCATTTATTGCAATGTCTATATTATATGTTTATATTTGCGCTTGTAGGCACAACGCGTTTTATTAGTGTTGTATATCAGTGATTCCATGACCTCTGTAGATGCCATAGTAGGCTAAGTAAACATACATTTGGGTCTAATACTTTTGCCAGTACAAAATCCTTCCATTTTTTTATGGAGATGCATGAAAAACATTTCTACGTCTCTAAAGATTCTTTGTGAATCCACTGTGCCAACCTTCCATGTTTGATGCACTCTAGGACCAAAATGAAAGTTATTTTGAGAAATTAGGGGTTGCAGAGAATGGCAATGTCCAATCTTTGCTGTGGGTTAGTTATCAGGATGTTGTACATATTACACAATATACTTTGGGATTTCTTTTTCTTCAGGAGAGATACTTCTGACCGCAATATTATTTTCTAATCTGTTAAAACAAACCCTGAAACCTTCTAAAGGCAGCTGCCTCTTCTTTTTTTAAAACAGACTGATTTCTGTTTATTATTCATAGACATGGCATGCTTATCTTGCAAACTCTCATAATTAATTATTAAAATTATTAATTATTGAAAGCAAATAGTGAGCCAGTTTACCTCTTTCTCCCAGCTCCCCCTTTACTTCCTGTATCTAAAGCTGTCAGAGCATTTTGAGTCTCTTCTTGCCTCAGAAAGAAATAATGGATTTTAAATGCTTTTGCTCACGTGAGGATATTCCTTTGTGCTACCCTAAACGATTATGACCATTGTGTGCTAATCACAAATCTCTTTCTCTCTCTTTCAGTCTCCCAGAGTGAAAGAATCCTTGCAGAACTCTGAGGTAAATTGTGAATCATGTACATTATATTAGAAATCTCCATTAAAGCAGGGATTCTCCATCTCGGCAACTTGAGGACGCATGGATTTCTTGTCTTGTTGGGGAATTGTGGGAGTTTGAAGTCCAGATGTTGTAAAGTTGCCAAGGTTAGGAACCTCGGCATCTGTATAACAGAATAACTTGGAGCTCAATTGTTTTCAAAATTGATTGATTGCGTGCCATTAAGTTGATGTGTAAGCAACTACTATCTCTAACTTGGTTCTTCAGGGTCCCCCATTGCTGATGAGTCCATCCACCTTGCTGCTTTTTTCCTTCCTTCCTTCCTTCCTTCCTTCCTNCCTGGGAAGAAGCAATGCTCAACCAATCTTGGGACTCAAAAGACACGCAATCTACAAAGTTAGCTAAGACACCGCCCCTGGGAGTCTGACAACCAATCAGAATGCATTGTTTAAACAGGAACAGGAAACAGAGAGGTGGGGCCGAACAGAGAGTATAAAAAAAACTTAGGAACTCTCAGCAAGCCCTTTTTTTCTCTCTTCTTCACCCAACATCTGGAAGCATGTGATTCCCCCTTTCCTGTTAAGGAGCCCAAGCCATGTGTTCCTGTCCACCATTAAACCATGTTTCTCAGCAGCCCCCATTTTTCCAGTGTCTTTTCCCCCACTTGGAACTGAACCCAGTAGGACATTTCTTCCAACAAGTACGCATAATACTACTTTCCCAATTTCTAATTTCTACTTCTTTTTTCTAACACTTAATAAAGTAACCACTATGTTAAAAAAATGCTGTATAGCTATGCGTCATCTCTTGCCCTTTTTTAGAACAAATCACGGTTAAAACAGGTCAGTTGCTCTCTTGCATGTCTGAATATTCCATGGTAGACTTATGAAAATTAAGAGAAGATAAGGGTAAAACCCTGGTTTTCCATCAGGACATTCTGATCTCTGTTTCGCTATCATTTTCCTGTTTGCTCGCACCTACTTGCCGGCTCGTATTTCAGATGGAACTGCATTTTTTTCCAAATAAAAACCACGAGGAATTTGTAAGATGACCAGTCTGTGTCACTCTCTGAATTTCCTGAAAATCCATCCAGGACAGCATATTGGCAGATGTAAAAACAAGCTTGGGAAGAGAAATACAATACTCAACATTCCCTTCATACCTTGTGGTTTAGATTTCTGTCTTCCCATCAACAGGTGGAGCAGATTCAACAACAGCTAAAGTAACAGAAAAGTAAGGAGTCCAGAACAGTGAAAATACTATTTTATTTTACTTTACTTTAATTTATTTTATTATTTTATTTTAATTTTATTTTACTTTATTTTATTATTTTACTTTATTTTTATTTTATTTTACTTTATTTTANCACTCTGGAAGCCTCCTAAAGGCTATGCACGGCCATTTTGGTGAAGTGGGCGGGGTTTCTAACCAATGCCATTTTTTCAGGTCCTAATGTTGACACTACAAAATGATCCCCCCTCCTTGGAGACAGGGGTTCAAGACAAGGATATGCTTAAAAAATACGGGAAGTCGTTCAGGAAAATGATTTCGTTGTGCCTGCAGAAAGACCCAGAGAAAAGGTAATAAGCGGGACCATCTTAACTTCCTCCTCCTCTCTCCCTCTCTTTTTAAAATTTATTTATGTGACTTACACCTCCCTTTTCTGCCTATGGACGCACATAAATGCATTCACAAGTTGCTACACTTGAACACACATGAGCAAGTTTAAAACCTAATACAGGTGGTCTCGACTCAAAAACAGTTCATTCAGTGACCATTTGAAATTAACACGCCACTGAAGAATGTGACTTAGATGATTTGTTTTTCACATTTATGACCATTGCAGCATCCCCATGATCACATGGTTTACATTTGCATACTTGACAACTGATCACATTTATGGCAGTTGCGTTATGCTGTGGTAACGTGATCACCTTTTGCGACCTGACAAGGAAAGTCAATGGGGAGCCCAGATTCGCTTAACAACCGCGCCATTCCTGCTAGGCAGGTCCAATAGGGAAAATTGGAGGCAAATGAAGGTAGAGCTGGATGTTTGATAGCTTATCCTGTTTTAATCGCCGGAATATTAAAAAAAATGGTTGAGGTTCTAAAAAGAGAAGAGCAACAAAGAGGATTAGGGGACTGGAGGCTAAAATATACGAAGAACGATTGCAGGAACTGGGTATGTATAATTTAATGAAAAGAAAGGTTAGGGGAGGCATGATAGCAGCCTTCCAATATCTCAGGGACTGCCACAAAGAAGAGAGAGTCAAGCTATTCTCCAAAGCACCTGAAGGTAGAATAAGGAGCAATGGGTGGAAACTAATCAAGGAGAGAACCTTGATTAGTTCTAAGATTAGAACTAAGGAGAATCTAGAACAACAGTGAGAACAATTAATCAGTGAAATGACCTGCTTCCGGAAGTTGTGGGTACTTCAATCATTAGAAGTTTTTTAGAAGAGTTTGGACATGTGTCTGAAACGGGATGGGCTTTTCTGCTTGAGCAGGGAGTTGTCACCAACCCTTTGGACCTCAAGGACCACTAAATTCATAATTTTAAATCCCGCGGATCACTAATATGATCTGCCTAATATACTGCCTAGGTGGGAGTGGCAAGGTGGTCATGTGACTGGGTAGGTGTGGCCAACTTGATGTCACTTAATGTGGAGGGAGGCTGCGACAGCCTCTTTTCGCCCCTCCCCTCCCAGCCACTCCTTGCCTAGGCTCCTTGG